AACTGGACACTAAATTCAAAGTTGGGGGAGGGTCATAGGAGTACCAAACAAATGAGGGCCTAGACCACTCTTTTTCATTTCTACTCCATTAGCTATATTTTGGAGTCCTGGTGTGGTGCTGTGGATTAATGTGCTGGACTGCAAAGGTGGTTTGAACCACAAGGTCAGCGCCTCAAGTTCACCAGGCACTCCTTGGAAACCCTATACGGGGTCACTAAGGGTTGGAACTGACTCAACAGCACTTAACAACAACAAAAGCTATATTATAGACTCCTAGTATGGTGCTATAGATCAGCAATGGACTGAACCACAAGGTTGGCAGGCAGTTCAAATCCACCAGCTGCTCCTTGGAGTCCCTATACAAAGTCGCTATGAGTCAGAACTGACTTGACGGCACTGAAGAACAAGAAGCTGTATTTCATCTTTTATAAATTGGGTTTATATGTAATATTTTATTTCAACAAATGACTCCAATGTTATAATACCTGACAAACTTTATTGATACTGAAAACAAATCAAATCCTTATATAGCTTCATAGATAATATTCACTTCATTCTTCAAAACATTTATGTCCTAGGTTCATTCTGTTTCTTAGCCATAAAGTTTAGAAATAATGAGGGTAAGTGAAACAATGTCCAAGGCAGACCTATGACATTTTACTACATAAGCACACACACATACATGGACTCCTATAATGCAGAAATTACATTAAGTTTGTTTTACTCATGCTTAGTAAACAAAATCACACAAAGCTTATTAATAAAATTATGTATTATCCTCCATTAAGAAATTTATTCTGCCTTCCAAGATAGTAAGTATTCTTTACACTGGCAGAAATAGGGCATCATTATGTTCCTTCCCCTACAGAAATTCTAAAACAGGTACTTATTATAAACTAGTTTTAACCTCTTTACTTACGTAGCTAGGCTATAGTAGAAATGCATTTATTTTTAGAAGTTTACACCCTTACCCTAATCTAAAACAACTAAATCTGAAAATAATTTTGGTGAGGTGGCACATGAGTGCATCCAGCAATCATTTAAAAAATGACTCAGTACAAACTATGGTATGTACACCCAATGACATGTTGTGGTGGTAATGTGCCGGGGAGTCGGTTCCGACTCATAGCGACCCTGTGCAGGGTTTCCGAGGCAGTAAATCTTTACTGGAGCAGAAAGCCTCATCCATCTACAGAGGAATGGCTGGTAGTTTCAAATGGCTGACCTTGAGGTTAGCAGCCCATAACCGCTACACTACCAGAGCTCCTTGTGACATGCTATATAATGTTAAACAGCAACAATGAATATGAAAAACCTCGTAACACAGACGCCATTATATGCTAAATGAAATTAGTCAAACAGTGTATTAGACAAATAGTTTATAAGACCACTATGATAAAAAGTACAAAGTTTTTCACAAAGAAAAATACTTTCTGATGGTTACAAAGAGAGAAAGGGTAGACACATTCACTTGGGTAACGAGGAAGGCAATATAAGAGAAAGATCAGCACAAAAAGATCAAGGCAAAGGAAGACACTGGGAGAAGTACAAGAGTTAAAGGCAACAAAAGTGAATACTATTATTACATACATAATCGGGCAGTAAAGGAGCTCTGGTAGCGTAGGGGTTACGAATTGGGCTGTGAACCTTAAGGTCAGTGGTTCGAAACTACCAGCCGCTCTGCGGGAGAAAAATGAGGCTTTCTACACCCTCGGAAATCCTGTACAGGGTCGCTATGGGTCAGAACCGACTTGATGGCACTTAACAACAACAACAACAATCGGGCAGTAAGAATAACATACAAGAGAAACACGCTGAACAGGTGTGGGTATAGAAATGGGACTACACCCACAAATATTTTTTAAAATGAGCCAATTCCATTATAGGGCAGCCTGCTCTACCCATCATGGAAAGTGTAATATGCCAATGCACATTGCCCTGAGTGTTAAAAACAAACCAGCAAAATCAATATATTTTTGGGAAACAGAATTTGAAACATTCCCAATTTTAAAACTACCAATTGAAAGAATGTATGGAGGAAACGTAGTGAATTTCAGAATTTATACAGGAACAAATGCATTGAGAATCCCTATTTCTGCCAGGGTTAGCGCCTTGCAACAATCCTGAGATAGTTCTTATCCCATTTTACAGATGAGGAAAACTGTGGCCTGATAAATTAAGTAACTTTGCCCAACGTCAAATTGGTATTAACTACAAGGCTATCTTAATCAAAAGTCCAAGGTCTTTTCACTACACGAGTGGTTTTTCAGCTGAGTGATTTTAAGGAAAGTGGGCAAGGACTCTAGGCCCACTATCCCTATCTCAATCAAAAATGGCTGTATTTAACTGTTTTGAATGCTGGGCTTAAGTATAACCTTTTTTTTAAAAAAAAGTATTGTATAACTAAAAAAAGTTTCAAATATATATTATGTCATGCCACCTTATTACTATAGAGTCATATTAATTTACCTTCGTTATTTCACCTTCTAAAGTTTTCTTTTAATATGTCAATTTTTCAGGCAGGCAATCAAATTTAAAATTATGATAAAATCTGCCTATACTAAATAAATTCTAGGACATAATCTATGTCTGCAAATATAGAATCTTTAACGTGCCAAACCATTATTACTTTGTTGTCATTAAAAAATAGAAAAAGCTTTCCCCCCACTTCTTTGCTTATACATGTTGATGTTATTAAGAATAGGTAAAAAACAAAGAAAACTCAAATTTTCTAATCAAATTCAAACATATACCAAGTAAATTTGTCTAGGCAAAAGTATTATTAATACACACACACACAAACTTATTTTTGTTTCATCATCGAGGAGTGAGGATAGACGCATCTAACAAATTTATCCTACACATGTAGGTACTAGAAGACCAAGTTAGAGATCTAATGGAAAAGTGAAATATCTACTTCTTTTTCTTTGTTCCCTTGGATAATTCAAACTAATGGTTACTACCTTTAACACTTTTTACAAGAAAGAAGTTCTCATTACTTTTTAAAAGCAAAAATGTATTGTCCTCCAACTAAAAATCATTTCACACATAATAATAAAAATAAGTACATCTTCCTGAAACAAATTGGCAAGAGCATTTTAGTTCTAGCCTGTATGCTTATTCAGTGTAAGTAGTGGTATAAGAAGAGGTATTTGCTAAAAGCAGCTAGCAGTACGTCTGTGGCTTATCAAAGTAGCTTCTTTCACAGAAAGTGGCTATTCTTTCAATGTTAAGCGATTCTGAAAAGGTGACAGTCTTAGCAAGCATTCTAAACAGTCCACATGGTATCGTTTGCTGTCACTTAAAATCTTGGGGCAAATTTCACTAACAAACATACAGGAAAATGAGAACTTAAGAAAAAAGCTTCAGTCAGTCCAACAAATCCAGTATTCCTAATCAATGAGAGTGTACATTTACAGTAATTCTTAACAGAAATATAGGCCTAAGAATTCATTCTTCTTGACAACTGAAATTTTAGACAAAATCATTCTTACTACAAAAGACTGGCTGAGTAATATCCTAGTCTTAGACTAACCTGGGTTTTCCAATCCCTCATTATATTTAAAATGTAATTATGGATTCAATCGAAAAAATTTTAATTGTAAAGAAAGATTCCAGAAATTATAAACTATATTAAAAAGCAGACTTGTTAGAAGAGATTAAACTAGGTGCATTGGGTCCAAACTAAGATATGACTATTAGGAAACTTTATCTTCCTGTGTAACTCAAGCTGAATTTAAAATAATTACAAAAAGAGTTCTCAAAACACTTCGAATAGTAGGGCTATAAGAATAGTGAGCCGTCTTGCAAAAAAAATAATATTTTGATGGGAAGCTGAATTACATGACCTCTGATATCCTTTCCAATGTTTTAATCTTTAAAACAATCATACTTCATGCATACAAAATAAATCTTACACACATCATACTTTATTAGGAATGGGCATCTTATTAATGTGCAAATTCCATGCAACATAGTATAATTCCTTCAAAACATTAACATATTAATTTACTTCATCTAAAAAAATACCCCAGAGTCCTGGTGTGACACTAAACTGCTAACTCCAAAGTCAGTGGTTCAAACCCACCAGCTGTACCATGGAAACCCTACACAGGGTCTCTATGAGTGAGAACCAACTTGACGGCACTTTAACAATAAAAGTATCCTACTTTTAAAATATATGTAAGAGTAATTACAGAAGCCAGCTCCTGTATCTTTAGTAATCATTTTATTAGTGGAGACAGTTAATACTTATGTTTCAGACAAACTGATCTGAAAAATAATTCAAGACAGGTCAATACTTATTAGACAGGAACATAATTGTACCAAAGAATATTTCTAAATAACTTCAAGAGAAGTATTACCTTAAAAAAAAATTGTTAAAGCTACTTTCCATATAAATTCCATAACAAACAATAATTTAAATGTATGATTAGCTCTGAAAACCTTTTAAACAAATTACTTCGGAGGTTATAGGACATGTTATTCTTTCTCCTGTGCTGCTTCTTTTCCCTTTCCTCTTTTGATTTCCTCATAGATATTACAAATTGAGGAACCCTATGGGAAAGAAATATTTTGTGCTCCATAGAAAAAAGAAAAACAGGAAAAGATGAGTGAGTAGAACTGAACTTTTTTATCAAATAAGAATACAAAATTGGATGTATAACTAGATTATCTTTATAAAACAGCATTTTCTCTTTCTAGTAAAATATCAACAATTAATTCCATGATTATTTTCTACTCTTCCCGAATTGAAATTTTAATTAGTATATATTCCAACAGCATGTATGGAAAAAAAATTCTAAGTCAGAGGTACTTAAACAATTTCTTCTTAGGTGTTTTGGTAAACAGCCAAAAAACAAAAATACACAGATATAATTACCAAAGATTGAGCAGGTATGACCCAGTAAAATCTGTCATTATATTTACTATTACCTTTGTGATTCATTGCCCTTCTCCCACAATGGGGGGGGGGGAAAAAAAGCCTTAAGTAAACAAGATTCCAAAAGCTCAGCTTGACGTAACCTAGGAATGGAGTGAGCCACCTGTAAATGCTAGAATGGTCCAAGAATACAGGTAACTTCTGTAACTATTGGAAACAGCTGCTGGCTCCAAATCAGGCAGAATATCTAATCTTCAGTGATATAAAAGGAAATAAAGTCCAAACTTCTAAAACACATAACGGCAAGTCCAGGAACGAGGTCGAACATAATCCAGAAAGGTGGCCTACAAATAGAAAAAAAGAGAATGGAAGAAGAGTTTGTGTGTAATATGTATACAGTTCCTGGGGAAGGGTTATTGTTGCTACTGTGTGCCATCTGTGGTTTTTGACTTATGGGAAAGCCCATGTGCCAAGAACAGAATTGCCCCTGTGGGGTTTTCTAAGCTGTAATCTTTATGGGAGCAGATCACCAGGTCTGGTAGGTGCCAACCTTTCAGTTAGTAGCTGAGTATTTAATCACTGCAGGGCTCCTTCTAGGCAGCAGAGTAGAGGGTAGAGTCCTGGTGTGGCCCTACAGGATCATGCACTGGACCACAAGGTCGGTCTGAACCAAAAGGTCAACAGTTCAAACTCACTAGCTGCTCCCAGAAACCCTATACAGAGTTCCCATGAGTGGGTACAAACTCAATGACACTTAACAGCATGAGTCAGAACCGACTCAACGGCACTTAACAACAACAATTGGTTCTGTAGGATCAGCACTGAACTGCTAACTACAAGACTGGCAGTTCAAACCTATAAGCTGCTCCTTGGAAAACCTATACAGGGGTCACTGAGTTGGAACTGGCTTGATAGCACTTAACTAATAACTACTACTACCAACTGTTAAATATTGTGGTTTTATTATTTGAGTGCCCCCTGCCCTGTCCCATTGCTCTTGAGTCAATTCCAACTCATGACAATCCCATGTGTTTCGGAATAAACTGTCCTTGTGGTTTACAATGGCTGGTTGCGCCAAGCTTTTCTTCCAAGGTGCCTATGGGTGGACCCAAACCACCAACCTTCTGGTTAGCAAGAGTGCATCAACTATTTGTACTATCAATTTCAGCGACCTTAAAGCTATGAGCAGCCAATTCAAATCATGCTCACTAATTTTAACTATAGCACGAACTCAAGTGAATTTAGATTTTTTTTTTTTTTGTATCATAGAAATATGTTTATTTTTATTCAGTTTTTTGGTGTAATTTAGAAGCTTTATATGAACGTTCTGAAGTCTGTCTAATAAACTCATAACACAACTGCATGGACTTCTGTCTAAATTTCAAATAGGAACAATCTCTTTCTGTATCTTGTCTTTTCTTTTAGTTAAAGTACTGGATTGTGGTGGTTCAAACCCACCACCTGGTCCTTGGAAACCCTTATACAGGATCGCTACTGAGTCGGAATCAACTTCACGGCACTTAACAACAAAGTCAAAATGGTGGCAGAACACACATACACACATGACTAGAAGAAAAGGTTCAAAACTATTGGATTACCTAAAGGAGGAAAAGATGAAGTACCATTCATTTGTAGGAAAGACAAGAGAGAAAAGCATTTGAAAAGGTTCCATGGGCTGTGAGAGGCGAATCAAATCGGACATGTGGATCTGAGTGTCAAGAATGGTGTGACCAGAGACAATTATAGGGAGTCCAAAATCAAGAGCAGTTAGTCAGACACACATAGTGGACTAGTGGGAAACGAGGCGGGAGAGCTGGTATTAATATAACAAAAATGGGATTGTGAGAGAGTAATTAATTTGATTGTGAATATATTTTCAGTTTTACCTGAAAACATGAGACACACAGAGGCAGATATAACAAAAATGTTCAACATTTTAAGAGATTTTATTAGGACTAGAAATTTAGATTTGGAAGCCGTTCATACATAGCTAAAAGTCAAAGCCCAAAGGCTAAATGAAACTGGTGAAGGGGAAAAAAACAGCAGCAACAACAAAGAACCACAGGCATATATACCCTAGACATATCACTATTTTCTGGACATTTTTATAAAGGATCATAGTACTTTGGGAGGAAAGGGCAAAAGATATTGAGTGATGCACACATCCAAAAAGAGGAAAGAGCCAAAATCAACACATTAACATAGCATCTTCAACAATTAGAAGCAGACCAGCAGAGGGAACCTACAGTCACCAAAAGAAGGGAAACAATAAAGATAAGAGCAGAAATAAATGAGATGGAAAA